TATATATATATTATATTATATATTATATGCAAGCGGTAGAAGTGCTCAAGTAGGATATGAAGAGTCACTGGAATCGATTGGACAAGGAGGGGTGTTCAACGCCTCATGAATCTCGCTCCGCGGCTCTTTTCAGCCAATACTTCACGGAATAGGCATGTCAACGCCTATGAGTGCTGTGGTAAAAACAGCATGCCCCCCGCATCTTCTTTCTCCTTGTGAGATGGTGATGCTACCCCTTGAACATTTTCTCCAAAACCAAAACCAAGACAAAGAAAAACCAAACAAGACGAAAATCATTTCGTGGGTTTCCATGGTGTCTCCGGCTCGATTTCTGGCCCTTGACTCTTTCTGTTTTCAAGAGGCTCCAGGCCTAGCAGTTTCCTTTTCCGAGCTGACGCTCTTTCTTCATCTTCGACTATGCGCCACTTGTGGCCCATGCGGCAGAACAGGTGCAGTTGCTTGTGCTCGTTGCTCTTGGTCAACCCGTTTGATAGCTGAGCTTCACTATGAACCCATCTAATCTCCACAGCATTGCGAATCTGGGCAGATTTCAAGGAGAGTAACTCCAGGTCTGTTCTCTTCTCAGCGCCCTTCACGGACAAGACCTCGGTCTCTAACTTGTCGTACACATTCCTGGAGTCAGTAACCAGGCATCCACTGATCTGGTTGACGACACTGTTGATGTCTCTCACATTGACTTGAGCTCCCATCATTTCTGCCAGTTGGAATCTCGCAAAAAAGAGGAGATCTTCTCCGTTGTTTGCTGCTGCTGCTTCTGCTGCTCCGGGGCTGCGGCAGATCCTGCCAATCTTCTGCGAATGCCAGGCGACAAAGGTGACTGGCTCACAACTGCCATGACGTAGACGGTGAGATGAAATTCCAACTATAATGCCTTGTGTGCTTGAGCCATCTACGCGGTTCTGAGAGGCGGCATCTACCCATGCAAACAGTGACAACATGTGTGGTTCTATGGCATGTACCTTCATGCAGTGTTCTTTCATATCTTTGACCTTATCAAGTAACCTGTTAGCCTTGTAAATGGTCTCTATAGTACTCTTGTTCACCTCTGACAACAGCAAGCCGACTTCAGCACTGAAGTGGGGCGCAACTTGTTGTGCGTGCCTTGAGACCCCTCCCAGCAAGGCCCGAAGCTGTGTTTTCTCAGACTCCTCAGTGGGTGCATTTCGGTCTTTCTTTCTAAAGGCTCTCAGGTTAATATATTTCAAGTCTTCAACATACTTCGATTGTGACAACGAAAAAGAAAAATCTTCATGTTGTTCCACTTGAACTCCGCATTGGGTAAACCTTTTTTCTTCCCAATCTCCCCATTTATATTCCGTTTGGATACTCTTGAGAACAGTACACCAACCCTCATGCATTTCATCCCCACTAAAAAGGAAATCATCAACATGACCAGAAATAATCCCTTTGGTAACCCCATCAACCACATAAACCCAGCAGCATGCGTCACTCCAGCATTTTTGCAATCCGAGTTTTGCAAAGAAATCTGAAATGGAACGATACCATTCCAGTGGCGCATCAACTAAGCCATAGCAGGCTTTCTTCACTTTGGTGATTGACTCTGCTGGGAGTCCCATCTTTTCACAGATCTCTGGGCATGGTATACAAAAAAGGTCATCAGGGTATGGCCTGCTTTGCAGGAAAGCACCTGTCACATCACCTTTTCGCATCTTGTGGCGATATGAAGCGGCTAATTGCATCTGCAGTTGCCTGGTCTGGCGAGTCGTGGTTGGAGAAGTCGTTGCTCTCTGTTCATAGCAGGGATCTTGGTATCCTAAAAGAACGGCTCTGGCTTTCGCCTTTCGGCTGCCATCCTCCTTCTGCTTCCATGTCAGAATCCAACGCATCTTCACTGCTTGTTCGCGTGCTGGGCGAAGTTTCTCTGGAAGGGCTTCAAAAGCCTTGGCAGCTATGAAGTTACTCACTTCCACGGCCTTTGCAGATCGGAACTGTTGTCGCTCTTCCTCAGATAGGTGACGCTCACAGACTTCAACTGCTGACCGTTTCTTCAAGCTACTGGCAAAGTAAGAAGGGAGATCTCGAAGAGCTCGTTCAGATCCAGCACGTGTGTCTGGCATGGGAACCTCCACGGCCACGGCCGCGGTCTCATCCATCCAGAAGGTGCACTCGGTGACTGCAAACACTTCCTGGATACTTGACTGGTTCCACCATGGTGGGGCAGCAGCCATGCCTTGTTGGGCACTCATTCGAGGCCTCTGTGACACGGGTGCTCCTGAAGATGTAGAAGGCGTAGGCCTGGAAGTTGGACTCCTGGATCGCCCTGTTGGCCTGGATGTTGGAGGAGCCGGTCCCATGCCACTCATCTCATCTACCATGGGGCCTCGTTTTCTTGCACATCTTCTCATTGGTTGCCATTCTTGGACTGGATCTTGAGCTCGTAGCCATTCTGCATAAGAGGGTACTTCGGTGGACACATCCAGAAACTCGTTCCCTCCAAGTTGTTGAGCTACTCTATCAAAGTCCCAGTCATCGTATTGTTTGGCATGTAGTTCTTCTAAGAGGACCTCCCGCTCGGAGGCTCGACGTAGTTGCTCTGGGGAGCACTTGAGAAGTCTTCTCCCTCTGACGCACCAAATTGAGCTGCCCTGCTTGTGGGTCCCGTCGGGAGAGCGATGTTGCTCCACCGCCAGGATGCGGGCTGGCCCCACAAACGAGCCACCCTTAATGGCTGCTTGGCCGCTCACTTGCTTTCTCCGCACATACACTAGGTCTCCTGGCTCATAGTTGGTGACATCTCTGGGTTTTGAGTTCTTGGCTTTTTGGAGTCTCTGGCTTGCCGTCCATTCAAGGAAGGCCTTTTCCGCACTTTGCATTCGCTGGAGCTGGCGATCCATCTCGCCAGAGGCGTTCTCTACCAGCAGCTCTGGACATTCACTGGGGCCGCAAGGGAAAAGTCGCCCGGTGGCATCAGGCGCACGGCCAAGGGCATGTTGGATGGGCGAATAGCCTCGGATCAGTTCTCGGCTATTAAAGGTCCTAGTGGCTTCAGCCAAAGCTTCTGCTGCGGTGACTTCTGGGTCATCTTCAGCTATTTTGTTCATGAGAGTCTTGGTACCCTGAATAGCCTGTTCACAAATGCCCACCTTCCAGTGAGCTTCACCCGGAATAATGTCCAACATTATTTGGTGCCTATCACAGTATTCTTGAACCACATGACTCCTGAAGCTACCATCCGGATCAACCCTGAGTTGATTAGGAAAACCAAAATACTGAACCCAATGTTCCCCAAACGTTTCAACAAACTGATTGGCAGTAAGGTGACTTCTTTTCCCCGTAAGAACAATTTTTCCAACACGAAAACGGCATCCCTCATCAACGAACATCAAAAATTGATAGGACTCCTTAGTTTGTGGGTGTTCCCAGTGCCCAATATCCCCTGACACAGACGCCCATTTTGGGGGGTGAGGCTCCAAGGTGGCTAAAGGCCGTGGCTTCGGTCTACCCCGTTCCTTACAAACTGAACACTCAAAACGTTCGGCTTCCCTGAGCACATCCTCTGACACTCCCCTGCGTCGCAGGGCTTGCACCAGGTGTCTGGTTGGCCCGTGGCCAGTGGCAGCATGTAAGAGGTACAGTCGTTTTCTTATTTCTTCAATAGTCAGACCCTGACCCCTTTGTTGGTTATCTTCCCCAACCAGAACTTCGTGGTTCCCCTTACTGTCACACTTCACATGATTGGTTCCCTTGATTCTTTCATGCTCATCATGAACACATGAACCGCAAACAAAACCATGTTGAGAATCATGAATGTGGTGACAACTGCAACTGATCCCATTACCAAAAGTTTCCCCAATTTGGTGGTCTCCCACAAACTCCCTTTTTAGGTCTTCATCTTCCGCTCCATGAATCAACGCATCACAGACCCTTCGGGCAAATTCGGGGGTGTAATAAGCAGTTTTGTTGGTAAGGGAACCCTCGCACTTCACATGTTTCTGGTGAGGCCCACAGCTACATGGCATGTTCATCCTTTTTGCCAACAAAGCATGAGTGGTCATGAGTTTCCAGCCTTTCGAAATTGGGTTTTTCTCATCATCAACAAGACCAACACGACAACCCCGTACCACAGCAAACCATGGATTGTGTTTCTTCACCAGTTCCTGCATCATTGGAAGCCTCCATGCCTGACATGATTGTGACCATTCCCAAGTGACATGTATACCATGCTGAATACAGTACGTATATATGACACTGCAACCGACATACTGTTTCATGGCAGCTTTGCGCTTCTCAGAAAGGGCCTCCTTCTGAGCTTCACTTCTCTGATTGATGTTTTGCATCACTGAAAAAGGTCCACAAACCGGAGAAAGCCAAACATGTTTTGGTTTATAATGGTCAATATCTTGAATGACTTTGTGAATCCCCTGGTTGGTTCCTAAATCATACTCATTGAAAAGTGAGCAGCGTCGGGCCGCACCCTCGTCACCTTTCTTTTGTTGCATGGTGCGAGACAGCACGCTGTCGGCCGAACATGCCACTTCCAGCAGCTCTATGCGCTGGTGTGATAGCAGGGCCTCAAAGGCATTTGAAATCAATCTGTCACTGCAATGGGACAAGTGTCTTACTTTTTGCTCAGGTAAGGCTTCCCATGAGCCCCTCCAGAGCTCACTGTCGACCTGCATTCCCGCCTGTGACAAATTAAAGTTTTCTACACTCTCAGCTGAAGCTACTGTGGGATCGGCACAAAAGAACCTGTTGATGACTCTGTCATCTCGGAGACACTGGATGCTTCGACCTTCTTGTGAGGCCTCTCGGCTTTCAGATTGTCCACGTCCTCCTTGAGGGCGTGCATCATCTGCATCATCTGCATCATCATGGTCTCGGTCTTGCCATTCGAGCCGCTGGCCGGCGTCGATGTGTTCTTGTAGCCGCTGGAGGTCTGCTTGTAGGTCGGCATCGGATGCTGTGCCTCTGGGCTCTGGAGCCAATTGGCCAGACGGGCCAGGCGGTAGTCGCATTCCCCCTCGGTGGCGGTCTTCACGACCCAGCTGGCATACTGTGGGTGTTGGGCTAGAAGCTCGTGGTACTGCAGACTGCAGTGTTCCCCGAACCCCACAGGGTCCTCCGGAGAGGCAGCTGTGGTCTGGTAGATCTTCTTGGTGCCCAAGCGCTGCAGCTCCTGAATGGTCTCGGTGCCGCGGGTCTTCACCATGAGCTTGTTGTTCACGTAGTCCACAAGGTCGGACTTCTTCTTGCTGGCCTTGTTCAGTTCGATCATGGCATGGCGCATCGGTGGCCGTACCTTCCCTTTCTGAGTGACCATCCCGTTGGCTTCCTTGAGTTCCAAAAGGCGACTCTCGATCTCCATGATGCTCCACTGTTTTGGAGCTGTTTCGCCAAAGGTCATCAGGAGCTCTTCCACCAATTCCTTTCTGGTGGCACGAGGCATGGCTCTTGCTCACTGACTCGTTGGGGATCTCGTCTAGCTTGTGCTGGAGAGCTGCAGGAGGAGGTTGTTCTGGCTCTGTACACTGACTGCTGTCTGAGATTTTTCCAACATGTCCATGGAAACCCTGGGAAAGTTTTTCATCATCAACAACCACATGGTCATGAACAACACACCCAACATCATCATGAATGCTAGGATCACCAACCATGTTCAAGGGGTTGTGAAAAGTGCCTGAAACATCGCTACTGACCTTCCTTTCCATCTCAGGCGCACGGAAAGAAAGGAGTTGTCCCTACAGGAAAGCATTCAGGCTCGGCACTGGCTGTGCAGTGCTCTGAGCATCACTGTACCAATCCTGAGTCATGGGCAGCAGCTGATGGCCAGTGGCCGAACGTTCCATCTTGATGATCTTGGATGGGTTGATCTTGCGGAAGACGACCATGTCCTCAGAGAAGTCGATGATTGCTCCCAAGGCCCGTAAGGACTCAATGGAGAACAGCACAGGTCCTGCTCCCGCATCCAACGCATGTACTTGTACTTGTCCAGGTTTGCCATCAGCTTGAACCTCGAGTGAGGCTGTGGACACGCACTGGTTCTTTGATGAATTTCCAAAACCAAACGTAGGCTTGTTCTCCAAGTCAAGGTCGGCCAAACGAGAAGTCCCATGCTTGTACTTGTTGAGGGCAATGATCTTCTCGAGGGCCACCACGCTGCCAAGGGTCTTTGTAGCCCCTCCATCAACGACAGCCTTGCCTTGTTCGACGGCCATCTGAGTGGAGATAGGCCCTATGCTGTTGGTGTCGGCAACATCAAAGAAGGCCTCTGGGCAAGCATCGGAGAACCCAGCATCCAGGTAGTTCACCTCGTGGTCGTCCGGGACATAGGGCTCCACAATCTCATGGTCCTTGGTGATCTGGTCTTGTGCAAAACAGATGAAAGGTGCAGCCTGCTCTTCGGCTGAAGAGGCTGTCGTTGTTGCCATTGCCTTTGGACATGATGAAGTCTTGTGAGGACCACCACATCAGAAGCACTTTTGATCTGTGCCAGAAGCTACAGCCGAAGTGCTTCCAGAGGGCTTGAAGTTGGTGCGGTAGTACTTCCGGGACATCCTCACCTGATGTTGTTTCTGTCTGGCCTCTTTCAAGGTGCGACGCCCGCGCTCCATCATGGCTAGGGCTTCTTGAGCCACATCTTCAGCTTCACCCAGGAGTGCGAGGCCCTCGTCATTGAAGTTGCGGTGAGCCTGGGCAACCCAGGCAGTGTCATAGTCCTCAGACTCGGCCTCTTCATTCTCATCCACCCACCAGCTGGAGTGACGATTAGCTGCATCTCGACGACGCAGGTCCTCATCAGTCCACTGGCTGTGTAGCTCCTGTGCCACTCGGGTCATAGTGAAGTCGCCCTTCAGGGCTGCCACGATCATGTTGCGCTCGTTGGTGTCCAGGCCAGAATCAAACAGGAGGTACCAGCCCTGAACATACTCTGGTAGTAGTTCAGGGGCTTCCACATTCCAGTCGGCATTCTCGGAAGGTGTCCAAGAGGTACTCCACCAGTCATTTGACCACCAGTCCGGATAACTCCAGGAGTCTCCTGAAGGACCTGGACCAGTGGAGCTTCGCTCCTCAGTGGCATCCTCGGTGGCCTCAGCTTGATCATCAGGTCGAGCAAGCGCTTCCCGATCATCCTGAATCTCCTCAGCACTCAGGTTCTGACTGCCAGCCAGGGAGGGTGTCCTCCTGTAGTTGGCCCAAGGGTCGGTGGACCCCGGACGGCTATAGCCGCCGTAGCTCTTCTCCCACGCTGGCTTCTTTTTCTCATAGTGAGACATCACCCTGTGAAGTCCTTGCCTAGCTCTTGCATACAGTTCTGACTTCCTAGTGACGTACTCATTCATGGTCTCCCCCTTCTTGCGCCTGGACTGCCGGAAGTAACGGCTCAAATGATCCGTCAGTTCAGGCATCTGTGGAAGGCCCAAGTTTGACCTCAGGTACGTCAGAAGCCGCTGCACGCCTCCATTGAAGGAGAGCCATTCGGGATGCTTGCCCACAGTGAACCTGCGAGCAGTGCCCGTCAGCTCTGTGAGAAGCCTCGGGCCGCACAAGTAGCGCTTGTGCATTGCTATGGATTGCTCCCACAGCAAAGCGCTCTCTTCAAACTCCTGATATGTTCCGGCATCTCCATCCCAAATGGGAACTCCTTCTCGCGTCTTCTCTATCCTTTTCTGCTTCTCCGCCATGTTGTTCCTCCTATGGCTCTGGCAATAGGAGGCTGTAGGTCCCTGGTCTCACGCCCGCCCGTAGGCAGGCTCCGCTACCGTGCAAGCGGTAGAAGTGCTCAAGTAGGATATGAAGAGTCACTGGAATCGATTGGACAAGGAGGGGTGTTCAACGCCTCATGAATCTCGCTCCGCGGCTCTTTTCAGCCAATACTTCACGGAATAGGCATGTCAACGCCTATGAGTGCTGTGGTAAAAACAGCATATAGTATGTATATATATATATATATATACAGAACAAAATATATAATGTATACATATGTATATATTTATATATATAGTATTTGTTGTATAGCCATGCATTTTGGGTGGTCAATAATTTGAGCCATCTTTAAATCATCGGGGACTTCGCCATGTTTTTGTCAGAAACTGCTGGCAGTTGCGTATTGGCTTGGATATTCTCCCAGCCTGTACCAGCGACCAGCTGTATCACCATCTCTTGGTACTGGGTCCTAACATTGCAGTTACTGCAAGGTCACTTTCAGATAATTGAGCATAGCTATGGACATTGGCCTATTTTACAGGTCATTTTAGGTGATTTACCCTCTGGTAATTTAACATAGCTATGGAAAATCACCATCGTTCATAGGTAAATCAACATAAATCAACTATAAATGGGCCATCTATGCCATAGCTCTGTTAAATCACCAGAGGGCCCAGGGGCCCAGGGCACCTCTACAAAAATGGCTGATTTTCCATGGCAGTCATTGTGAACACCGGAGGGTGCCTTGGCGTCACGGTCCGTCACGGTCCGTCACGGTCCAGGAGTACGTGCGGATGGTCGCCGTGGAGACGGTGGGACAACTCACCCTGGAAGTGCCCAGGTGACTCCGGTGCATAGGTATAGATACATGTGTGTGCTGTACATGAGGAGATAAATATATATATATATATTTATAAATACATATATATATATATATAAATATAAATATATATATATATATAACATGCATACCACGCTGGCAGACATCGATTCCAAATGTCTAGTATATCTTGCCACTATGTCTGCATAGGAATAAGAATTCTATGCGAGTTTCATATAGCACACTGAGGCCAGCGTGCCATGATTTTTCACTGGCTAGACCACTCTGCGCCAATGTTCACCTGACACTCCCAGGACTGTGTGAAAATTGGTTTGTCTGAAAATAGAGTACCCCGAACTCTATTTGTTAATCATCATGTTCCCAAATGGCCATTTGATGGGTTAAACGCAGCATTTTCAGGTGTGTTCCATTCTTGAGATACATTCCATTATATCCCCGGCATGACATATATACCCATTCTATCACCATTCTATACCCATTAGACCACCATTTTCAGACACCCAAATTTTACTGATCGCGCCAGGCACAAGAAGAGCCTGGTGCGCTTGCTGCACGAGGATCCGAGTCAGGAGGTGGATTTTTTCCAACTTTTTTTCTTTTAAACGCGACACGTTTATGGAATTAAGCATATGAAATACATTGGAATTGAATATTTTATGGAACGAATTATATAATCACATATAATTGGATGATGGGGATAGGGATATCCTGTGAATTCTTGGACAATCCATGGAAATTTTTAGGGTTTTTGAACATGGGGCTTTCCCCAATTTCCAACACAGAATCGTCAAATTGGGGGGTCACCGGGTCACCCACAATAATATTGGTCAATCCATTGGATCCAGAATGGATGAGATATAGCATTCTATCCCCAACTTCTCTTAGAATTTTAACCATCCCTGTATCTTCCCATGATAAAAAAGCTATATATCTATGGGATGACTAAGAGAATTTCTAGGGAAGAATAGCATTCTATCCCTTCTCTTAAATTGCTAAGGATCGTCCGGGTCATCCCGGGTCGTCATCCCTCAGGTGCGACGACTCTGCGACCGGGTGCTGAAGCAGCGCGGCTGGCGGGAACCCGCCTGGATGAAGATCCAGCACCCGGCCTGGCGCGAGCGCGTGATCCGAGCCAATGCCAACCGTGGCAAAGGAACCACCAAGGGTAGCTGGGCCGAAAAAAACCGGAACCACCAGGGTCTATGGTAATGTCTATATATAAATATGTTATATATGTTATATTACAAGAACCATATATTAATGGTGAAACCACATTTTTTCATGTGTGACTGCGAAAAACTGTTGCTATGAACATTTGCGGATGGTATATTTTTGAGAGCATCTCTGGTAAAATTGGGATGGTACTCGTAGTTACTGGGTTCACCACGCCCCATAGGTTTATATGTGTGTTTGAAATGTAATATGTAAATGTAACATGTCCGGGTTTCCTGCAATGTTTGAACTTTGTTCTTTATCCTTTTGGCTGGATCGAAACAGAGGGTTGCATCGGCGGGTTGAAGCAGTCCCAGGTAAGCGGAGTGAAGGCAAGTTTGGCAAGATGTACTGGGAGAAGATCAAGCAGAAGTGAAACTGCACGGATTTGCTGTCTCAAACCATCCAACACATTTCAGACATAGGATTCAACCTTGGGAGGGGGATTTTTTATGATGACAGAAAGTGCCCAAGAATGGTCCTTCTTTCTTCACGTATTCGTTCAATGAATTCCCTGCACCACTTTGAGACAGCTTCGCTGTGGCCAAAAAATGACCGCGGGGACGATTTGAGGTACACTGACCCCACCCCCTGATATCATAGATGTCCCAAATTCCCATTGGTTGGTTGATTAATAGAGGGGTTTGTTTACCCCTTTAACAACAGGTAAATGATGATAGATGGTATACCAAAGCAAATTCTGTTTTGGTCTTGAAGATCATCATTTTGGGACGGCTTTTGAGGGAGTTTATTAGAACAGGGGATCGTATTGAAAAACTTTGTTCTGATCTTGGTTGGGTTCTAGAAAGTCTTGAGGCACTTCCAGTTGCCAATTGTATAGTGCCACCCAAAGATGGTCGATTTTGATGTTTGAAATCTTTGAGGTTTTGAGGGAGTTAATTTGCAGGACCCCCCCGAAAAATTTAGGAAAACCCCTTAGGCCCTTCTCTCTCCCGAGATTTTATCTTTCAGCAACCGAGCAATTGAGATGCATCCACCTCCAGGATAGAGATCTTGCCGCAGATACTCCTCTCATTGCTGGCGCTGGGGGCACTCAGCTGCGAAGGGATCTTGCAAGAAGCAGTTTCTTGGGCCTGCCGATGGATATTAATATTGGTGACCCCCAAACGAGACGGTTTACTGGGGTTTACCGTTTCCTCTTCAAGATGTCCGGGTATTTTTGATTGCCATTGATCCTTGATCATTGATGGTTTTCGGGAACCGACCTTTCTTGAGGCTTTCCATCAGCAGACGGTACCTCAAAATTCATGTGAACATGAACCTGGATATGGGCCAGGGGTTACCACACCAAATTGCTTCCCCTTGACATGTAAATTCACTTGAAGCAACGTAGGGAAATCCACTTTAAATCGTTTTTTGGCTCATAGTGGCAATTTCGATTTGGAAGATTTGCTTCCCTCCTTTTGCGGAATCGACCAGTCCGAAAGGGGGGCGAAATCCACATGGCTGGGCATATTGCCGTCCATGTTTGAGGTTGCAATTGAATCCCAAAGATGGTCAAGTTCCCATTTATATACCATCATCTATGTATATCTATGTACCATTTCTATACCATATATTACAGTTCTCCAAAGCCCTTGCAGTTCACTGCCCACTCCATTTGGCGAAACCCAGGCAGAGACCCCTCGAGGTGGGGCTACCATGACCTCTGAACAGAACCATGTCACCGGTGACGCAGAAAGCCTCCACATGTTTTGCTGAGCTACACTTGGACAATTTGACATGGTACTGCAAAATTTATAAAGATTCGCACGCAAATGCAGAAGCTTTCCCTTTGGACATTTTGGGATTGCCCCTATCAGAGGGTTCATAATGCGAGTCAGCTAGGGTCCTGATATTTTCCTATCCGCAAAACTGGGCAAATTCAAGACCTGTAATGTCAACAGTTCAATAAACTCCCAGTTCATAACAAGAAAGCATTTAAGTACTGAATCTTGTTCAACCTCTGTTTTTGATGGTTAAACCAATGTTTTTCCGCTGGTTAAACCTATGTTCTTGATGTTTACAGCCGTCGACAGATTTATAGAACTAAAAAAAAATGACATGGAGTACGGCTGGTTAACCATACTTTCGTCATCCTTTGATATTTTGCGTCTAACTTTTGACCTGTTCTATGCTTAAATTGTCTGTCATGTTCATTACCGTAGGTTTTCTTACAGTAGGTTTTCTTGCGGTCCCCCCCCCCGCAAGAATAAGTATTAGAACACGCAATTCTTGAACAGGATGCAAATATATGAGAAATATGGGTGAAACCACAATTATGGAACAAACCAGAGGCCACAACAATTGTACAACGACCCTGAAAAGAGGATGACGCTCACTTTTTTGTCACCCGAGTTTTTTTGTTTGCCGAACCACAGTTATTATGGAACACATGAGTACGTTCCCGAAACTTTCGTCAACAGCCCATGGAATTTTAGAGATTCCAAGCCCAACTGGTCCAAGTTGGCACAGGACCCGGAGCCACCGTCTCCATTCCCAGCGTCAGCATTCGGCCACCTACGGAGGAGGCCATGGAATGTGAGGATCCACCATCCTGGGGGATTGGCTCCCCATTTCCGCAGTTTTATCTCAGTTGTAAATGGGTATAGTCATGGTTATCCACCAACTGGTTATCCCAGTTTCTATTTGTTCATATGCTAGTGTCGTGGGCAAGACGCTTTAAGTTTTAAGGCCTTAAACTTTCAAGCCCCAGTTTCCTTGGTTTGACTATGTTCCAGTCTCTGCTAATTAAGCAGAACTTTGGCAGAAAACCACCATTTTCAGTTGGGACAACCATTTTTAATTGGGACAACCATTTTCAATTGGGACAACCATTTTAAATTGGGATAACCATATCTATTCTATATATATATAATATATATATATGTATATATGTATATATGTATATATGGCTGTTTCCTCAAATAGGTGTACCCCTGGCCCAAACCATCCAAAATTAGATCATTTAGTATTGAAACCCATGGTGACTTGGGGTATCCCATCACTATATATACACACACACACATAATTTTAAATGATAATAAATGGGAAAAACATGAAAAAGAACTGGACAAAAATCCAGGCAGCCATCTTGAGAGGGTAACTCTCAGCAGGTGCCTTCCTCACTCATGGCCACTGTCTCCAGCAGAAGGAGAGATGATGACGAACAGGTGCCCGAAATGCTGTGGAAATGCAGGGAGTTCTTCGGGAATTGGTGTGGAAAAGATACCCAACCAAATTTAATGAAGTGGATTCCAGACTTTTCCATTGAACATGGCAATTTTGGGGGGGTATCCTGAATTTGAAGACAGACCGATGTGCATCCCCGTTGTCTGATGAATCATATAGAAAAAATCCCCAAGTCGCCAGGATGTTGCCAGGGAAGTTCCGAGTTGTCATGATCCACTTGATGGCAAAAATTGGCACACTGCGCGGCCCCCATTATCATGACGGTAGAACCACCCCAACACGGGCTTGAATTCTAAATCAGATTTGTCAAAACAAATATACATATATATATATACACATATATATTTTAGAACTGGTAACGGACCCTGAAACACCTGAATGGTGTCCCTGACACCCTTCCCAAGCTGCACGGCAGCGCTATGTTGTTCTTTTCCTCCAGTTGATTGCACAACGTCCAATCGGCCACGATCGTAACGCCTTACCAAGCACCGAAGGTAAGGAACCAGGCACAAGCTATCCTCACCCTCCACTACGGGCTCACAGAGCCACCCAGCTGCAAGAGAATGATAAGCTGTAACCCTTACTCTTTGGATCTCAAGTGAAATGAAGATGATGTGCATTGCGAATCGGCAGTGTTGATTTCACATTCCCACAACTTCAAAAGATTCGCAATGAATGGATGTTACTCAGCATGCACATACTTCCCTGGATGAAACTAGGACGACTTGGCTTTTCCTCTCATCACTCCCTATATGTGGTGGCGCTTTGTCTCAGCCATTGTAACCTAGATCGAGAGTCGGATCGGGCTTTGAGGATTTCACTTTCATCATGTAAACAGTATTTTCCAAGCTGGAGGCACTCCCTGAGCATGTAATTGTCCATCACTTTGGTGAGGCTATCAGCCACTTGGGCTCCGGAAGGCACCCACCTGATCTGTATCCCATTCTGAAGGTGTTCTTTGATAAGCTTTGCTTGTAACAACGTACGAAACTCTTGGCAACTTGGTGGAGCTGTCCTACTTATCAGGTCGTAGAGGGATTTACAGTCAGTAGTTATTATTCCACTGTTAGATTTGGGTAATTTCTTGAGGAGTGTTTGAACTTGATCTGGTGGTGTTGGTGATTCGGTGTCTTCCATGGGTGGTATGGCTGCAAACGCTGGTGGCAACTGCAACAAGGTCTTATCAGCTTGTTTCCATGGCAATTTGGTGTCAAGAATCCATCCCCAGTATAGTCTGACCCAGGAAAGCATGTCAACTGCTCCTGCCAGTGCCATTGCTTCTGCGGACAATGTGCTGACAGCTACCTTCTGGATTTTCTTAGAATGCCACAACATAGGGTTGACAATGCTGGTTCTGTTCTGTCCTAACAGCCGATGGCACGCCATGATCACCATGCCTTGATGTGAATCCTGAACTTTCTCTGATGCGAATGATGCATCTGAGAACGCAGCAAATCTGAGATCCTCGGTCTTGATGGGTTGTATTTTGATAGTGACATTGGAATGAACTTTGGCTTCATGGAGTGTTTTATTGGCCTCAGTTAAAGTGGATACTTTGGCTTTATTGATATGTGATTGAAGGTACCCAAGTCTACTGCACAAGTCCGGTCTTGAATTCACAGCAGCGTATTGGAGCGAACCAATCAAACCTCGTAAGGACTGTCGTTCGTCATCTGTGACTGGCTCATCAGGATGCACTCTGCGGGTTCGTGGAATTGAAATTGGTTGTATGTCATTGATGTATTGTGTCTGGTTGATGTGTATTGAATTGTCAGGTCGTTGTTCAATTCTGAGTCCAGTGAAGGTGAAATTTCTTTTCTTGTGTGATCCAAATGGAAACATATCGGCTAGAGCTTGCAATCGCCTTTGAAAAAACTCTGACCCACAACACAATCCATCGTCAACATGGACCCCAACAATGCCCTCGGTCATGCCAGACTTTGGATGTTCCAAAATGAACGCGCACGGATCAAATGGACTTGGTGTGAACCCCAGTGATTCCAGCCCACGCTTGAGTTCCATGAACCAGAGGTAGGGTGCATCCACTCTTCCATAGGCTCCTTTCAACAGTCTGAGAACTTCATTGGGTCTCATTTTCATCTTTTCTCGAAGTTCAGCTGTGGGTTCAATGCCAAGTATTCGATCTCCTTGTTCTTGTCCCCTCAAAAAAGCCGTCTTAATATCAAAAGATTCGATATCCCATCCCTTTGAAGCAGCAAGTTGAAGAATGAGCATTCGTGACAGCTTTGACATGGTCGGACTGTCTCGAGGAATCTCATGCACTAATGGGTCTTCGTATCCTAAGACAACTAATCGGGCTTTGGGAACATGTTTCGGCTGATCGGCTTTGGCATCAT